TAAATGTTATAAATGACACATCTTTACCTAAATGTATATTGTATACCAAACATAGCTGCATTCATGTGACATGGGGGTATTACTTGTTATATGCAAAATGTTATTTATGTTCTGAAAATTGCACAAAGTTGTATTGAAAGTGGTACAAAATGTCTGTTATGTAAGTACGGGTTTTATATGGGAGAAAATTACACGTGTTTGCCAAGCACCGAGCTGTTGGGGAAATGCGACAAAATATCACAAATTACTGGCGGGTGTTATCAATGCAAAGATGGGTATTACAGAGTTGGGATGGATTGTGTTGAATGTCTTTCTAATTGCTCAACATGCAACACAAAAGACACGTGTTTGACTTGTAATTTGACAAATTACAAAACAACAAGTGGAAAGTGTTTGCCACAAAACAGTATTTTTGGGTGTGCTGTTGAAGTCACACAAAATGGGTGTAACAAATGTTTGCCTGGATATTACACTATTAATAACAAAGAGTGTGAAAAATGTAACAACAACTGTACAACGTGTACACAATATGAAAAATGCACTTCTTGTGTTGAAAATAAGGTTTTATTTGAAAGTGGACTTTGTCTTGATATTTCATTTGTACCAGAATGTATTGAAGTATTAAACTCAAAATGTTCCAAATGTTCATTCTGGCACTCTCCCAATATAACCGGAACGTTGTGTAACAAGAAAATAGTTTGGTGGGTACTTTTTATTATAATTTTGTTTACAATTATAATGATGATATTTTTAATATTATTAATCGTATTTACAGTGAAATGCATTGAAAAGAAAGTACATCAAAAACAACTTGAAAAAACAACAACAAGTTTCAAAATGAGTCATTCGAACATTTCTTTTGTTCAACTGAGCAATGGCATTGTTGTCAATAAAACTGATATCATATTTGGTTGTCCTGATGATCCAGTCAAAGTCGGCGCTGATAGTCGTGAGTTGATATGTGTTGGCAACTCGTCGAAACAACATTTGAAAATTCAATTTTCGACAAAGGAGAACACTGCAAAATACACAATCAAAACAGAACCCAAAGTTGTATCTTTATCACAAGGAATGGCAGTCGAATTTGAAATATTTGTTGAACCAAAATGTTCATGTAAAATTAATGATAAAATTGTGCTTTTCTCAAAAGGATTAAAAGATGGAATTACAAACAACAACCAATTAACTTTGCGTGTTTTTACTGAGATGTCAACACATCTTGACCCCGACGAGTTGATTGAAGAGAAGAAACTTGGTGAGGGGTCTTTTGGAATTGTCTATAAAGGAAGTTTTAGAGGAAATTTTGTAGCTATTAAGAAGATGAAGGAATTAAAAGAAGATGTTGATGAAATAAATGACTTTACCAAAGAAGTTGAAATGCTTGACAAATTTAGGAGTGAATATATCGTCCATTTTTATGGAGCTGTGTTCATACCAAATAAAGTGTGTGTGGTCACCGAGTTTGCACAATATGGAAGTTTACAAGATTTAATGAAACACAAAACATATGACGAAATTGACATGATACTTCGAATTAAAATGATGTTGGACGCATCAAGAGGGATTTTGTATTTACACGAAAATGGCATTTTGCATCGAGACATTAAACCAGACAATATACTTGTGTTTTCATTAAATTTAAATGATAAAGTGAATGCCAAATTGACTGACTTTGGAAGTGCAAGAAATGTCAATATGCTGATGACTAACATGACATTCACTAAAGGTATTGGAACACCAATTTACATGGCGCCTGAGGTGTTAAACAAAGAAAAGTATAAGAAGGCTGCAGACATTTATTCGTTTGGCATAACAATGTATGAAGTGTTTGGATGGTGTAAAGCGTATCCAATTACCACATTTAAATTTCCGTGGAAAATAGCCGAGTTTGTGACTGCTGGAGAACGACTTGAGAGAAGAGAGAACATTCCAGAAAAATTATATCAACTGATAGAAATGTGTTGGAAACAAAACCCAAAAGAAAGAGAAACAACTATCAATATCGTTGATTTTATCCAGAGAAGTTATAATTCAATATAAAACAAAATGAATACAATCAGGCATTTAATAAAACAGCTTGATATTATTAAATTGAAACATTTTTATATTTTTATTAACATTATAATAAAGTATCAATTTGACAATTATTTATAAAAATGAATTGTTTTATGATAATAAAATGCAATAAAATACATTTACAACATTTAATCTGATCATTTTTTTCACTTTTAATGGTGAATTCTTCTTGTTAAAAAGTATTTACTGATTCAAAGTGAAATTTACAAAATTGAGTTTGTCCGCTTTCAAGCCTTTTCGAGTTTCACACCAATAAGATGTATCTAATTCTATTTTTTGTGTAAAATAAAAAAATCTGGAACATAATCAGTTTAATTATGTTGAAAATTTTATACTAAAACAACGAACATATCAAGTTACCATAAAAAACTATTATTTTATAATTTGTTTAATGTATGAATCTCTATGTTTTGTCTTTGTGTGACTCGTTTGTTGTTGTTTTGCTTCGTTCGTAAACTTAATTTTTCTAATTTGAGAAAATGTAATTAAGTTATAAAACAAAGACTTGTTATTGATGTACTTTGACTGTTGCTATTTGGATGAGTAATATTAAATGATATTTAATGTGAGAAATATAACCTTTTTACATTGTTATGATAGAACAAATATTTTTCGCTTTTTTTAATTTGTTCAAAAACAATGTCTGAATAAATTACACAACAGCACAACAAAATTTTTAATATGTATATTAATAGTTATTAAAGTCATTTAAATATTATTTTTAAAGAACATGTGTTTGTTACTACATACCAGTTAAGGTTTTACTTGATTTAATCTCTTTTGTCTTGATCTTGTTATTTTAAACATTTTTATTGAAAAATAAATTAATTAAATTGCTTAGTTGGAAAACACAAATACTTTTTGGTGTATATGTTTTCCCATCAATGAAATCTCCACTTTGTGCAGTGTAACTAGTGGGATTAAATTTATTATTGTTAATTATACCTCGTTTGCCAACATCAATATCACTATTTTTAGTTGTTTCATTGTTTCCAAATGCAAAAAGATAAGAATTGTTTTTTGTGCAAGAAATGAAAGCATTGTCGGCTTGTCCTTCTTTTAATACAAATATCTTTGGATTTAACTCTCCATTTCGCACAATTGAAAAAATAAATGAAGTGTCGCCTTTCAACCAAAAACCGCTTTTATCAATTGTGCCATAGTAAACCCCTCCAAATTTGTTCTTTTGGTCGTCTTCAATCAAAAATAGAAGATCGCTTTTTCCTTATATTTTATCATCAAATACAGACGTGTCTTTGCTCCAGTCATCTTCAAATGAGTTAAACACAATATTGGAAATTTTCTTCTTTGTTATTTCTTCAAGTTTTTGACGTTCGCTGTTTTCAAGACCAAAATTGAAATTTTGTTCCATTTCTCTTCGTTTGTATTTAATATTTTCTAATTCATCAATTTCATTCGTTTTGATTTTTTCTATTTTTGAAAGTTCATTTTTAAAGTCTTCTTCAAGTTTTTTCTTTTTAATTTCGTAGTCGTCCATGTAAAGTGCATTCAACATCTCTATTGACTTGTCCAATTCGTTTTTTTTAATATACCAACATTAAAGATATGTTGGTATATCTTTAATGTGTTGTTTAGTTATTGCTGTTAATAACAAAACATCTTGCAAAAGTGACTGCCACTCCTTTCTTATAGGCAACTTCCTCTGATAATCTTCATCGAGTATTTCAAATTCCTTTTCAGCTTCTTTTATTTGCTCTTGTAAGGATATTTCTTTTTGTTCTTCTTTTTTTAATTAATTCCTTTGGGTTTTCTTTGGGGTCATCTAACAGCTTAATGATCAGAGTTGTTAGGTTTTGAATTTGCGCTTTAACTTCTTCCATCCTACTAGTATTATCTGTGTTTATTAGTTGAAAAAACAGTTATTAATTATAATTAAATGAATGAATTAATTTTAAAATAAAGTGGATCTATTAATATATTATAAATTATAATAACTACTAACTAGTTATAAGAATTAATATTTTTATTATAAAATTATTATATTATGGTTTGAATAACAAAACATAAAACAATTTTTAATTGAATAAAAACATATAATAACATTAACTGTATTATTTAAAGTAATTTAAATTTTATTTTGTTTTAATACATTAATTATGACAATAAAACCGAACATCAATTGGCGGTCAAATGAACTTGTAATGCAATAATTCGAGAGATGAACGACTTGATTGAATTGAACAACACTCTGCCGTTTTGTGTTGACAAAAATGAACTTGTGACTGGTGAAGTGCTTGATTATATACTCAAGAAATTCAAAGAAGAAATTCTGAGTGATATAGATGCTCTTCTTACTAATTCAAATCCTATAACAACTTTTATTACCAAAGAAACTATCGACGACAATTTTGGGTCACAACAAATGGACTTTTCACCAAGCAAAACCGACACAAAGGAAACAAAAGAAGAAAAACCCTTGCTTTCAAAAACGACACCACCAGACGTTAACAATCCCCAAAACTTCATTTTTATATCACAACAACAAAAAGAGGAAAAATTAAGACCAAAAAGTAACAGTCTGTCTCCATCATTGCCTGTAAAGGTCTATCCCGTCTTACCCAATTTTGCTAATAACAAGAAGCCAATTGACAAGATCTCTCCGCCCCCAGTATTCCCAAGTAAAACAAGAGAAATTAAAAACGGTTTCAATAAAGTGTCATATCCATCACTCTCTCCGCCTTCTCACAACAAACTTGAAATTAAAGAAATTCCAAAAATGACACGTGGCGATGAGAAACAGACTCAAAAAATGTCTATAGAAAATGGCACAAAAGGGTTAAATCTTCTCAACGAAAATTTTGAGCAAAAGAAGTCGCCGAGTATTCAACATCCGCAAAAGTCGATTTTAGACACCACCGATGTCGACTTTCTGGTGATTGAAAATTGTCGAGCAGACTTTTACAAATGGATTTCATGTGCGAAGTTTGAGGTCTTATATGACAGCGAGAGGCCAATTCCGATTACTAAAAGTTGCTCGCAAGACTTTTTCGAGAAGGTCCATAACATTCCAAAATGCGCGTTCTTTGTGTTTTGTGACGAATGTGTGTTTGGGTTTTACAGCGAAAGTCAGACGTTGTATTTGTCGCCACTCGACTTCTTGTTTGGAGTCAAAGCGACTGCGAGGAGTGTCAATAAACGGCCAAATCGATTTTTTGTGCCTCAATTTTCTCAAAATGTTTTGTTCACACTCTTCGGGGAGAAGCAAAATCGAAGCGAAAGAGGAAGAGACTTGTTTGCGCTTGAAGTGGGGTATAAAAATGTTTTAAGTGTGAGACAAAAGGAGGACAAGTCATTCCAAAGAGAAATTGGAAAACATTTTGTAGACAGGGCAAAACGAGTGAACCTTGAAAGCTTCTTGCCAAGTACATGGGATTTCGTGGTGAGAAGAGTGATATGTATTACATTTAAATAAATCAATTTTTAAAATATTTACTATTTGTATTTTTATATGGTTTTGTTTGTTTATTGTAACACAAGAACAATAGAACTGATCTTACTTGGACAACTATAGAATGATTTACTGATACATTTCAAGACATACAAATTTGGTTTATTTATGTATATTTTTTATTGATTATAAAACTTTCTATCGTTTATTTTTTTATTTTATTAAATATCACAAACACTTTATAAAAATAATATCAAATATGTGAATAAAGTTAATTGTTAATAACTTGAAAAAAAAATATATGTAGTTGCAGCTTATTACATGATATACGATTGAAATATCAAATACATTAAGTAAATGCTATATTGGATAGTATTATTTTATATTTTAACGTGACTTTATTAAAAATTATCTTGTCTATTATTTTGTGTTAATAAAATATATTTAATAAAGTTGAAAATATATTTTTTAATTTTTGATGTATATTCTAATTTATAAAGTTAAACCAATACAATATGATTTATTTTTTATAAAAAATATTTTTATTAATAATAATCAATAAAAAAATGAACTAAATAACAACAAATGGACAAAAAGATGTTTAAAGTTGCATTTTTAGGTGATGCTGCGTCTGGTAAAACGCAGATATTTAATCAGTTGTGTAATAAACCTTTTAGTGAAGACTATGACCCGACAATAGAAGATTCATACAAATTCGTCTTGAACGACAAATTTAAAACAGAAGTGACAATATATGACACTGCTGGTCAGCCTAATTACGATGCGCTGCTTGACGTTTATATCCAAATGGCCGAATGCGTATTCATTTGTTTTGCATTGAACTACGAAGAACAACAAAAGATTGCACAAGAGAAGTTTGTTGGGAGAATTCTGAAGTGAAAGAAAAATATTCCAATTGTTGTTGTGGGAACCAAATCTGATATGAGAGAAGACAAAGACGAAATAATTCGACTAAAACTAATGGGAAGAAAAATGATTGAAACAGAAGACGGAATTAAATTTGCACAAAGTATTGGAGCAGTGGGATACTTTGAGTGCTCTGCAAAAACCAAATTTAATATTCATTTGGTCTTGCAAACTATTAGTAAAATTATTAAGTTGGAGAAAGGATATTAATATTATAAAAGGCATTAATTTAACATTTTATTTGATATAAATTATTATATGAAATATCAATTAACATATATTGTATTCAAAAATAAAGTTAAATTTATAATTACATTCAATACTAATATAATAAAATGGTGTTTTAAACTTAATTAATTTTAGAAGATAATCGTATTAATTTGCTTAATTTATTGATCATTTTTTATTGTTGACTATTTTTATTTGAAAATAAAAACAAATAAATGAACAATGTATTCAATCAATAACATCAAAGCGATTCTTTCTTTCTTTTTTCACTCCTTTCATTTTTAACACTCGCTGTATTACTCCGAATTTTATTTATAATATAATAATATTATAAATAGAAGCGCTTGCACCTCTATAGTTTGTTGCTTAGACTGTTTTTTCCCATGCCGTACAAGCGCTCTTTATTTATTTTTTTCTTTTTTAGTCAATTCTGCAGCCCAATTTTATTTATACAACAAAGAGGGACTATTTCTAAAAGAGTCACTTTGGCATTTAGTTTGTTCGTGGAATATAAATCAATTGAATACATTGTTTGCCGACCCAGTTGAGTCGACTTTTCTTTCTTAAATGCTGAGTGTTAATACATTACATGTTTAAATAAGAAGAAACAACCCATATTTACATTATTCTAATGGTTTATTGATCAAATGGGGGAGGCGCTTTGTTTGCATTTTGGTATAAATTAGATAAAAAGATTGATGTTAAGGTTTTTATCTTAACGCCTCTGACTTTTTTGAAATGTAATTTTGAATTAAGTCGCCAATTTTATATAATTGAGAATATAACACATCGATTGAATATTTTTTATCATTTGTAAAAACACAGCTTTTTGTTGTTTTTTGTTGTCTCTTTAATGATGACAGTTGTTGATATATAAATTTTGATTTTTTGTTTGCTCTAATATGTTTGTTGTTACTGATATGGCAGCGAGTATCAATCAGAAGCTTTTAATATAAAAGCTTTGATTGTTTGGCATAACCCCATTTAAAAAATATATAATGATCAGTTATAAATAACGATGTAATTGATTTTGATTTACCATATTTAATTGTTGTGTTTGATTATCTAATTCTTGCTTTTTATATCGGTTTTTACTATTTTTATAAATTTTTATTTATAATTAAAATAATAATCTATTAATACAATGTTTAAATACATACAAATTGGATCTTTGTGTGATATTTCTTGACTTCTTTGTTGGTTTTGTAGTGTATTCAAGGGATGTCAATTGTTTTATTTTATTTTTTGGTTAAAGTATACAATTATTAACTAAAATGTAATGTGATTTTTTCATTTTATAAAATATATCGATACAACGCCACAGTGTCTCTATTTTCATTAATATTTAATTGTGTGAATTGTATTTTTATATGAATACAATAATCAATGCATTTTTTAAGTTTAAATAAAAGGTACTAAAAAAATTAAAATAAAATTTGTTTTGATAAAAATTATTTATATTAAAAATATTGTTATTGGAATTGTATGTTTTATTTTTGTAATTAATTATATTTTTATTATTAATTAATTTTACCATCAAAGCTATTTTTTAATTATTTTATTATAACCAAAAATTTTTGTATTTTTAAAATAAAAAGTAACTGTAATTCTAAAAGTCAAGAAAAAAATATAAAATTGTCTATCAAAAAACACTTCAAAACAATATTAATATTCAGAATATAGTTGTAATCAAACAAAAAATGAATAAACGATTGAATTCTAATTTCATTACAACTTTAACAATTATAAAAAACAAAAACTTTTGATGTAAAAATAAAAAAAATGATAAACAATAACATATTTATTGTTATAATTATTATTTTGATATTCTAATAAACAAGTAACTAAACAAAAAAGTTTCAAGGCAGTATTCTTAAAATTCAATTCGACACTCATTTTATTTATAAATTAGTTTTATTTTATTTTTAGAGCAAATTGACAAATGGATATTATTTTTAGTTTGAGAATGTGAAATTTAATATATAGATTGTATTTTTGTTGAGTGTTTGTTTTTCTTAGAAATAACTATTATTTATAATATATTTATGTTCTATTATTATATGTCTTTATAC